AGCTAGTCCTAAGAAGTTTTGCTAACTGCATATTCCTCGGAATAGATTCCTCCGTAATCAAATAATAATTAAAGCATCTGTGTCACTATCTATCCCTCTTGCTACGTGAAGCATTTACAGAAGGCAACAAAGATGCAGCACGCAAAGAAAATCTCCACTCTCTAGGCTCATCATCAGCGCAATAATAGGGATTTGTGCTGGTGTGGCTTATGAACTTATCTCCTTGGACTTTCATTAGCCTTTAAAAACAGTGGAGGAGGAGAGAATACTAAACAATGCCCCCTTGTTGTAACCACAACTGGAGGCCATGTTTATTCCTGTGATATTTGTTTTTAAAACAGCTGCCTCATTTCATCTCAGCTTCACTGAGAAAATAGTCATGCAGTGAGGAAACAGTTGTCGTAGCCTGAAATTAAGAGATGTGTTAAAGAGCAATATCACATAGACAGAGAATAATATTTTCTCTCCAAGCAGCGTATCAATTGTCAGACCAAATCTCCACTATGCTGTAGCCGAGCAAGAAATAGCCCTGACCAACCAACCCCTCCCACACACATACACCACCTCCACAGGAAACAACCACTGCAAGAAGCAAATGCATTCCCCTAAGCTACACCACCACAGAACCCCCAAATTAAGCAGTTCCAGGCTTCAGCCTGATGATGAGGTGCTGGCCGATAGGTGCCCTTGATCTTCAAGGGCAAATGGCAATTCACATTTCAGAAGAAAGGTGATTGCACAAACTGTGCAAACTTTGCCCTTCCTCTCCAACAACTACACTGACACGATAAACATGCTGAGCGAACTTCCCTGAGATACAATTATTTGTTATTTACTCTTCAGACGTAGGAAACAGTAATTTCTGGCACAAGCAAAATTCAAAAATCAGATAGACAATTTACTTAAGAACTTTTAGGTGTATTGAAAGGAGTACTAAAAAGGTACACACTTCAAACAAAAATTTTGTGATGTATTTATTCACGGGATTTTTCCTTCCTGTTTTGCTAGATTTTGATCTTGTTGCACAGTCCTGTAAAGTTACAGAATGAACCTCAACATGTGCAGGCACTGCTTGGAAAGCATATGAATACAGCTGCCATCAGAAGTGCTGATTTTATACTGTGAGCTTTCATTATAGGATGGCTTATGTTGGAAGGGACCTCAAAGATCCCCAGTTCCAATTCCCCTGCTCTGGGCAGGGATAATTATTTTAATGTCTAATTAGTGATGTTATAATACAGAAAAATACTTAATTTATGCAAAGATGATTATAAGACAGCACTTGAGACTAAAATCAGCATTAATTTTGCTAACAGTATATCACAACTCTTTAAATATAGAAATATGAAGATATAAGTTATGATCTTCCAACTTGAAAAGCCCCATTCTTCAGTAACATCTATTTTTGGACAATGTATTTTCAGAACATTTAATATCTAAGTATGCTTAATTTAAACCTGTTCATACCTAATATATATAATGCTTAGCCACCAGAACATAAGGCTGACATCTGCTTTCTATTTCATTCCCTTCAGATTTTTACAGACAACAGCAGCCCATTGGAATTCCTACGGTGTAAGACAAATACAGGACTTCTGAGACACCAAAGCGATTACTCAAAGCAGTGCAGCAATTAGAGCTTAAGTCAAAGGACTTGCACCTGCTATGCCTTGTGTGTTCCCCATAGCATCTTTTGTAATGAAAAGCACTAATTAACTCAATACAATGCAGAATTACTGTTGAGAAAGTAGCATTTTTTGCATGTTTGAGTCTGATCAGAGTAGCAAAGTGGAAATACCAGAATTTAAATGCAAATAGTTTGCATCTGTTCCTGGAGTAAAGCCAAAGCATGACCACCCATGCCAGCATTGTTTCAGCTACAGTAGTGCAACTGACAGCAGTATTTAGTACTAGCTTTGCAGATTATGTCAGCTCTGTTGTGGATGTGGTCATCATTTGCATCTGCGATCTTGTGTGTTGGTCAGATCCTGAGCAATTAAAATAACTGCAAAATACATCCGGGGAGAAGTCTAAGGGTTTCTTTCTGGAAGCTAACATGAAAACAGACTGTTATGTGTTTTTTCCTTCTTCAAATTCCTTCATAACTGAGAGCATATATATAAGATGCTCTTTCAAAAACAATTTTATTTCTTTTCATATCAGGGAGCAAATCCTGTTTGCATTCTTGAAGCAGCACTTTCTGCGCAGCTGGCAGAAATCATTCATTGGTAAAAGGAGATCCAGGTGTCGATGAATTTGCTCATCAAGATGCCTTTTAAATCAACAGAAGAAAACACATTTCAAATATCCAACTGCTGGTTTTGCCCTTAGAGAAGGCTCACAAGCAGCCTGAGGAAGTCTTGGATTTTATACATGCATTATTGTCCTCTAAAATACAAAGAAAAAAGCCAGTAATCCACTTAGTATTTCAGCCCATTCTCACACAGAGCTTATGACAAAAGCAGACGTCAGGGCTGAAATACCAGCTATCCTTACACTGACAACCAAAGGACATTCTTCCTGAAGCAGAGGAGCAAGACACTGCCTTACAGTCACTAGGAGTTCCGAAGCACATCAACCGCTGTTTCGTCGAGCCAGACGCCAAATAATTCACCTGTGATCTTAGCATAGCTTAGAATACACAACAAAGGTCTGAGGACTGAATTTCCTATTGCTTTCAGTACAATAGAAGACACTGTCACCTCATCCGCTACTTTGAGAGCCTCTACAGTGACTGACCTCATCTTTTATAACAAGATCTGTCACGACAGTGAAAGTGTTCGCTGCCTTTCTCTATTTGGCCACATCTGCGCTGTCATCGCCTGTTCAAAGAGGTCAGGACTGCAGCATCAACCTTCCAGTACAAGCATTCAGAAAGGCTTTGAGGTGCACAGTTTTCTGTGTTTTATGTAACCAAATATGTCACCGTATTAAAAGCACAACCATGCAAATGTCACAGACGACCATCGAACGTGAGGTTGAAAGGCACAGATATGTCCCCAAGTCCAAATTCATTTTTCATTTCCAACATTCAGTGCAAGCTTGAGTTAAAAGAAATCACAGTAAGTAGAAAATCTTAAGATAACTTGAAAAGAAATTGTCACCATGGATTCTCTTCAGAGATAATATTTTTTTCCAAATCACTTGTTCATACTTGAGTCATCCCAGAAAGCATCTAGAGCTCATGGAAATTTGTCACTGCAGATAGGGCGATGAGCACAGAATTCTTACAGATTATTTAGAAATTTTACTTTGGCATCTATAGCTTGGATTGCACTTACATATGAGGAATAGATTCAAACAAGGCAAAAAATCTCTTCCCTCAACACCTTCCTGCTTCACTTGTTCACAGTCCTCTGTTTAATTAGTACTCCCCCATACTTAGTCGTGCCATCAGTGCGGCAGTACTTCAGCAATAATAGAAGCTTCACATCAGCAATCAATACCTCCAGCAAATACATTAACCATCAATTTGCTTCCTAAGAAATTAGCATTTACTTTGCAGTATGTTTATTGTGACCCACAACATCCAGGAAACAAATGAGATTAGTGCAGCCTCTGAATATAAGCAGCAGACTTGGTGTTTAACTCTACCCAAGACCGTATGTTCAATAAGACAGAGGTGAGAATTGTTTTGTTTCTCCTCTTTTCCACACATCAAACACTGATATTTACACAGCCCTACCTAAAATATTTCAAACTCATTGGGTATGAATAAGTCAATTATCACAATACAGCCACTTATAACAAGCACAGCTGCCTAACACTTGCACAGACCCCGGCTCATGTGAAAACATGCATGATAAAGACAAGCTGTAAAAACCCCTGATCAACACCAAATGACATAATTCAGACCTTTAACCTCTGAAGAAACACAAAACATCAGATTCTTACACATTCTACATCCTGTAGATATTTAGAATTCCATCCCAAGGAGTTTTCAATGATGGCAATGTTTATACTGTAGTGCCTCAAAACACGGCCATTTGACTGCCTTTGTACCCTTATGAGTAAAATTTATTTTAGCGACCGAAGGAAGATATCAACTTAAACTTTCCTGCTTCCCCCACCCCATCGAAAGCATCTATCTTCACATACATTCATAACTTGATTCTGAGAAGGGTTGAAACCTCTACATACCCAATTAAAGTCAATTTGAACAAGCCGAGCACCTGAAATTCAAATTCCTTTAGCACTTGCACATGAATGTAATAACTCCAGTTTTTCTATTGCTGTCCTTCATTTCTAGTTTTCCACACTGAAAGCATAAGCTGCCAAGTTCTTCAGATTTTGAAATGACCAGAATCAGCCACTGTCCCTTTAATGTTCAGCTCGGTCTCCAGAGCAATGTCTTTTTACTAGAGCTCAGTGTGATTCATTGGAATCTGCCAGGCAGGTCAGGAAATCCCCTGGAGCAGAGGAAGAATATTAAAGAGATGGGACATGTATATCAAATCTCATTACTGTTCTCTTATGAGAATCAATCAAGTGAAAGGACGTGGTGATGTCATTATGACATCATTTACTTTGGGATTAGAAATCATAGCTACTTAGCAACCCAAACTGGCCAATACAGAAGAGGTCCAATGGAAGATGTTATCTTCTGACCCATTTACTCCAAGGTAAATATTTGTCAGTTCTTGTTTGAAGACTTTAGATGATGGTCAGTAACTTCAGAATTCCATTGTTTCCAGTACAGAACATGAAAAATAAAGCATTCTCCTGAGCCTGTTTTAATAATAATAATAATAAAATAATATCCAAACACGTTATTTTCCCCTAAACAGCTCACATGGATGCTTCTTTACAGCCGTCACCTCTCACAAACTGAAACCTTACAAAAGCACAAAGGAAAAGCTCGTGCTAAGCAGAGTTCACTATTTTAAGACCCACTACAGTCCCCACCAGAAATACAGACCTTTTAGTCCAGGGTACCATCGCATTAGAAACCATATTTGTTTCATTAAACTAAGCTAAAACCATCTGGATGAGCCCAGAAATCGCAGTGAGAAATACAAAGCAGAGACCCGTGAGGCGCAGAGCGGAGCGGGTCACGCTACTTCTGGGACCTGAAAGGGGTTTGATGCCCGCAATCTATGCCTGACCTCATTTTCTTTAAAGTTCACTCATCTCCGTTGAAAATACAGTCGAACCGAGTTCTAAAGCAACTGAGCAAAGATAATACGTGCACTGAAATCGTAACTAGGTCTTCAAATCCATTTCCAACAAGCCAGAAACACGGTGCCAGACCGGCACTTCGTCTCTGCAAATCCAGGGCTGTGTTACAGACGGAGAGCAAGGCAACATTAAATATCAAACGAAATAAAATAAAACACTCCACCTCCTGGAAATAACTTTTATTAGGCTGAGGTTCAGATCTCCGGCGAAACGAGGGCTCCGCGTTCTGCGCGCAAAAGCTCCTCACAGAGCCCCGACCCCCGCTCTGCCTTTCTGACCGCGGCGGCAGCGCGCACACGAACACGTCAGTATGAAGCCGTAACGGCCCCGGCAAGGTCGCAAAGGCACGAAGCGCCCGAACGCCGCCAGCGCAGCGGCAACAGGCGGAGCGCAGCGCTGCCCGCGGGATCGGCTCCGCGCCTCGCGCCCGCAGCTTCCCGCCTCGCCAGGGCGGCCGCGTCCCCCGGGGCGGCGGCAGCAGCCGCCCACCTGCCTGCAGCCCTCCTGCTCGCAACCCGGCCGGGGAAGGGCGCGGGGCTTCGCTGCACACCGCTGCATCCCACCGAGGCTCGCCTCGCCCAGCGTGCGGCCGCGGAACCGGGCGCGGGGACGGCTGGAAGTTCTCACGCAGCGCGCACAGCCTACCTGCCGCGGAGGCGGAGGAAGAAGAGGAGAGCGAGCTGCCGCCGCCGCTAACGCCGCCAATCGGCCCGAGCCACCGGCGCTGCCCACCCCGAGCGATAGTAATGTTCATTTAAAGCTCGGCGCCCGCCGCTCCGCCGCGCCCTCCCCGCGCAGCAGCGGGGCCGGCCGCGCGCCGCCCCTTCCCGCCCCCAGCCCGCCTCTGAGCGGAGCGCTGAGGGGCAGCGGCCGGCTCCGCTCCTCGTCCGACCCGCGGCTGCGTCCCCTCACAGAGCGGGGGCGGCGCCCGGCGAACCTCCCGCACGGGTGCTGCCTGGTGAGGCCGGAGGGCTCGGGCGGTCCCGTCCCGAGTTACCAAAAGTTGAAGTGCAAAGTTGGAACGGCAATCCGGGGATGCTGATGTTAAATGCAACGCTAAACAAACGAACCGTTCTGTGACCTCTGTGCCAGCGCTGCGCGGTTCTGCCTGGGAGGTTGTCTTAAGTAGAGCACAGGCCTGTGCTTTGAAAGCGCTGGAACAGTCGTTTCCAAAGTTCTTCACAAACCTCAAAGTGTATGAAGATAAACAGTTTGAATCCATCTCCTGGAGGAAGCAAAGCTGAAAGCTGTCCTCCTCAGCCTGAAGTTTTCTCCCCATGGGGTGTCCAGTCAGGAGCCCACAGCTCTCTCACAGTCACCACAGCACAGGGGAGCAACGTTACCTCATCCCAGAGCCCTCAGAGCAGGTGCCCTCCCTGTTATGGTGCTTCTCCATAGCACAGAGAGCCACTCTGTGTTAGCAAGTAGAATTGAAAAGATTGGCACCTCTAATGTCCACAGCTGGTGGCCTGAAGAGGAGATAGAGGTGACAGCCGGTCTGACTGAGCTGAAAGAATGGCATCTAGAGAGTCCTTCAAGGTAAGCTGGGTTTTCTATCTGCAGGATGGAAGCGCCCATTTTTGTTACAGAGCAGTCAAGCCCACATCCTCTCTAGTATAGGTGACTGTATTGTAACACAGGCTCTGTAGTTCAAAAGGCAAAGTAATGTTTACTACCTCTGCTAACACCTGTTGGCTAATAATTTACGCATAATAACAAAAACAGCACTACATATTGTACTGTTATACACTTGTCATGGCAGGAAGATCTAGTCCCCATAACACTGTAATACAATGGAAAGTACAGCAATAACAGCAGGGTGGCATAGTCTTTGGCTGCAACAAATGAGGACAAGACCAAATGCAGCAGCCATAAATGCAGAAATGAAGGAAAGGAGTTAATTACCTTCAGAAAGCCTCAAGTAGGCAGGGATCTCCAGCAAGACCCCCTTGCCTTCCCTGCCAACCCTTAAATGAGGTCTGAGAAGGACTGAATCCTGGCTCCACCCCTTCCATCACTCAGGTACATTGCATGCACCTGAGCTCCTCCAGGTTGGCCCTGCCAGTTGCTCCATCACTGGTTCAGTCTGTGACTTAGCATTTCTGCTACAACCCCTTTTCTTCCCAGGCAGGCCCAAAGAGCTTTTTTTGCTTATCGCACTGTAGGTGGAGTATAAACTTACTCCAATTTTTCTGGTCAATTTTCTTAATTTCTATGTTGCCTTATATTGACTATATGTGTGAATTAATGTTTAATACAGTTCATCACATAGCAATAGACACAAACACATTTATTACTAGAACCTGCAGGGTAGAGAGGATACACCTCGTAAAATTGGCTAATTGCCGTTTTGAAATCCAACTAATTATGCATAGGTTGCCAGATTGCTCAGAACCTTGAATGACTTGCTTGTGAGTTTTAATGTATAAAATACGTTAGCAGAGTTTAATGCCATTGCTCATTAATTACAAGGAGTACATATGATGAGACTAATAATAGGATTGTCCTGTAATCCAATGTAATAATCAGAAATTGTTTTTGCCCGTGCAGCCTGAAAAAGTAATAGCTAAGGATATTCCAGCTGTCTAATTTATACAGCGGCAAGGAATAACTACTGCTCTGGCATTTCTAGTATTACTTCAGGATATATTTTGTTACTAATTAGTACTTAATTAGCCCTTGTCTTCATCACAGTCCCACTGTCCTTGTATTTAGACTAAGTATTGGTTCCAATTCACTGGGATTTTTAAAAATATAGGATATATTCAGTTGTTGAGACAAAGAGCATTACCCAGAATAATACTGTCTGACTATTCAGTTCACCTGCGGCTCTTAAAGAGGAGAGCTGCCTTTCTCTGGGCATGGATGTGCCCCAACTGCTGAAGAGTACAGAAGAGACTGTAACCCACTCCACTGGTACTGGCATGGTTATCTGCTATGCTGTGTCCATGCAGCTGACTATGCTTCCTCTACACTGGTTGCAATGCACTGGGATTTAAGCATCTTTTGCCTCCATGACAAATTTATTTATTTATTTATTATTGGTAAGGTCAAACTGCCATCTGAAAAGTAGCTACATAAATTAGTCATTTGCAGCTACCAAGTAGAAGACTTTATACCACTTCTCAACACATCTTTGAATGAGGTGCATTTCTAAATGAAATTTCCATTTAACAGTAGGGAAAAATTTCTATGATAAATTCCATTAATAGCCAACACTGTGCAGAGCAAACTCTAGCCCAGTGGTTTCCAAATTGTGGCTCGTGAGCTGGTTACTGCATGTGATCTTCATTTCAGGAATAAAACTGTATTAAAACAGGAGATCTCAATTCAGTTTGCTCAGGCGGTGATCCATGAGAGTTTTGGAAAGGTAATTTTAAGTAACCCATTCTGTTTGGTAATCAGTAATGAAGTATCACAGAGCCAAAATGGTAACCAATGCTACCTTCCTTCCCGCCACAGCCTTCCCCTTTACACTTTCCTGACTATCCTTAGAAGGATGTGAGCCTGTGATTCGTTTTGGAGGCAGTGTCATAATTCTAACTTAGTTGCTAGTTAAGCTGTGACAGGGTCCGGTGAGAACTTCTGCTTAAAACTGGATATCATACTATTCTTCATTGACTTGAAAAAGTCTGCTACTGTTCCATCATAACATGGAGCTGCAGTTGTACTGATTTACAAAGTGCGCAGAGTTGTCCAAGATAACATTAAAGTAGTAAGTTTAATCTAAACAGCTAGGAGAGTACACTATGGATTTCAGTAGTCTGCTCAAGCTTGTGGTGCTCTCGATACTCAGTATCTCTACTGTTCTTGGTACTACACGTAGAGATGTCTAGCTCTTCATGAAACTTACTATCTGATTCATAATGCTGTTGTCTAGATGATCTGGAAGTATTTTCCAATCTTAATCATTCTGTGATTCTGTATGATGCACAATTCCTTATAAATATCTAAAAAAATTGAGCTTATATTTGAGATGATCTTGTGAGTGAGGGAAACTGTGTAGTTTCCTCTTAGTTTCTTACAAATTATTTATGAATATGTTGCTCTTCACCTGCTGTACTGGCAAACTGGTATTTCAGAAGCATATATCTAGAGAAATCTGTTGAATAACTGGTTCCTGGATGCACAGACCTGTTCCCATATTGGTGTGACTGACTGCTGAGTCCCTTGAAGAATACATCAGTTGGGCATAGGCTTGGATGCGTGGTAAGGCACATTCTAACACAGACATCTCTGGGAGGAAGAAGGACATAAATGTGGAGCATCCCCCTGGCTAGTCAATTCTGAGAGCAGACCTAAGATTTACAAATAGGACAAGCATTCCAGTGGGATTGAACAGTCACTTCCAGTAATTTGATGTAACCTGTCTGGCTTGGAGAATCTAACAGTATGCATTTGAAAGGAAATTTATCTAGTGCTATCTGAGCAATCTAAGAAAGCCAATACTAGGGGATTTGAAGGCAGAAATCTTGAACATATGACAGTTCAATTGAGGAAACTAAAAATCAGTTTAAACTCTAAGCTGTTATCTGCAGGCCGGAAGGAAGAAGATAGTTACATTGATAAGTACAAAGCAAATCAGTACTTGTTCTGGCAGGTTTAAAAACTGCTGCTATCACTGCGTTTGCACCAGTTTTAATACATCTAAACCTTACAAGATACAGTGCTGTATTTTTAATGCTGTTCTAGATGACATGATAACCAGACTGTTGCTATTTGTCAACTGCTTAAAAAATTCCAGAGTATAATCTTTCCAAAATGTGGCATTTATATTCAGATGTGTTTGTTTTGACTGGTTTTCTTTCTAAAAAGGAAAATACATCCCCAAAATGAGTGTTTTCTTCTTGTTGTCATTTTGTGTTTATCTGAAGACATACAATATTGCAGCTTTTGACAGTTATATATCAGATATACAGCAAACAAAGAACTACTACTAAACCCAAGTTTAGTAGTGCACTACTTCTGCACTAAACCCAAGCACCACATCCACTAGCAATTAGCCTTTGTGGTGAATAATTTGACAAATTCTTAAGACATTATCCTTCTGGTTCTAAGTCATCAGCTTTCAAATCTCTAAAAGGTTATAGCTAGCAAGGGCTAGGATAAGAAATGTAATCACACATGCTGCACAGTGCAACACTGCTTACTTAGCAGAAATACTTTGTGTGCAGTGTTCATAGTAGATTAGGTGAATCCTAAAGTTCTGGCTAGCATTTTTACACAAGATCCCATAGGTATCCTGTCTGAACTAGCTAACATGAGATTAACTCACACGTTTCTCATCCAGTTGCTATCAGAATAGTAATTGTTGAGTATGCCCCAGTGTTTCATTTGACTCTGTCTTGAGTCTTCTTGCCTCTTTTCATTGCATGTAACAATATTTTCTGATGAGGAGGTGCTGTGTTCACTCTCGAAGTGTCCACACTGAAGAAGTTAAAGAAGGAGTAAAATATGCTATTATAATTTGCTATTCATTATTTGTTGATTAAAACCAGCAGGAATGTGTGACTATTAAAACAACACAAATCCAACTTTTCATGGGGTCTAACAGCAGACAAAAGTTTACATCATTTCAACTAAATTTGCTTCAATTTGGAAATATTTAGCTGTTTCAATTTAATTTGTGCTCCTTATGCCTTACTGAAGAATGAACTGGAGATGTTGTGAAAATACAAACATCTTTCTTATGTTGTTCAGAAAGTTGCTGTCCAAACTGCAATGCAATTCTGGCCTTACAAATCAATGGTCACTGTTTGAAGGATCCCCAAGCACAAACCACAAAACAGAGACTGATAAGCCTCATTCAACTGTTAAGATGACGTGAAGGCGCACAGAAACCTGGATATAACATAGGAAAAGACTTAGCTATTTTTTAAAATCTCACTGGTAAAAATTCCCCAGGTTGTGCTATGGAGTTTGCTGTATTGAAGTATCTATATCAACAGCAACCTCAGTGTTGTGAGTGTTGGCTTTGAAGGATCAAAGAGAGCTTCTGCAAGCGCAGACAGCTCAGGGCCTCATCCAAAGTGCCCAGAACTCAGTGTGAAAAACTTTCTCGTTGACTTTGATGATGGTGTTTGGAGCAGGTCCCTGATAATAATTACACTGGAGCTTAGCCATGGTGATTGCTATTAGAGCTAGGATTTGGCCTTGACAGATGATGATAAATAATCTAATGGTTATTATAGCACTTATTTTTTGCATTTCTATAGCATTAAAATGCATTCATAATGTTTCATTATATTTTTACATCTCAAAGAATGAAAGTTGGCTTGAATTGTGTTTTAAAAAATAGCATGCATCTGTCTTGGCTCTCAAGAACAGTTATTGGACTTTGATAACATCTGGAAAGCAAAGAAAAGTACTGCATATAAGGGCAGATTCTAAGTATAGCAGAGACAAAAAGATTTGACTCCCTCATCACAGCATTCAAATAAAAGAAAAAAGAGACTATAGAAGCTTTGTGTGGCTGAGGAAGTACCAAAAGCCATCAGGGACAATAGGTGGCATCAGGGAAGATGGTGGCAGTGCCAACATTTCCTGTCATCCAGAAGAGTTTTCAAAATGTCTTTCTTTCTTCAAAACAGCACACTTAAGGCCATCAGAGATCCTAGAATTAAGATTGGTCTTCATAGTTTATTGATATCAGCTAAAGAGAGATTATTTTTAAAATGCAATTATCATTTTTATACTGTAAGCCATTAAATTAATCTGGGAGTAGCCATGATTTTTTTGCTCCATACCAAACAGTGTGCTGAATGCTCTTCTGGAAAGAACAGCACCTTGCTGTCTAGGAAGACATTTTCTCACACAGAACTGTGTTGTCTCACATAGCCTTGCTACATGGTGATTTTTCACATTACTCCTGTGCCACTATGCTGCAGCAGCACAAATCCCTACGAGAGATGCTAGTTTGCAGTCTGTATGGGTGGAGT